TGGCAATGATGCTTTACACTACACATTTTAGAAGATAATGTTTTACTTTACTTTAAGTTGCTTCTCATAAATACTGAAAACTGTCAGAGTTTAGGAGATGAATTAACAACAGAGGTTTCCCACATGGTCTGGACCGGTTCTCCAACCAGCTGATGAACATGAAGTGATCCCATCCAGCGGTGTTTTTCATATTTCTAACCATTGCACATTGACCTCACAAATAGAGAGAAGTCTGGAAGCACTCTCATGAGTTGTACATCTCATAAAAGTTTAAACTTCAGTTTTGCTGCACGTCAATCAAGAATGAACCATCTTATAACTTGAAACGCATCACCTGAAGAATCAAGTTATTTCCATTATTTTGTTATACTTTGCTTTTTATCTTCTTTTTCATCTGTTTGCTCATCGATGTGTTATGTGTTTCCCAAAGCCAGTTTACTGTTTGGAGATGTTGATAAGATGATACATAGTGCAATACAACCTGGTGATGCTGACCCTATTAAAGGGTGTAAGACTGATTTGTGTGATTTTTTTTGAGTTTACTCAGCTCATGCAGTGTAATATTATTGCTACAGTACCTTGCAAAAGTATTCCTACCACTTGAACTTTTGAATGTTTTGTCACTTTACAACCACAAACTTTAATATAGTCCATTGGGATTGTATGTGGAATAATAAATATCAAATAACTCTAAAGGAAAAAATGCAACGTTTCCAGCTTTTTTACAAATATAAATTAATATTCATAGGTTCAATTAATGTAGTTATATAGATTTTCTACAGGGGAAGCTAGATGAGTTACTAACTTTAAATGCCACAGTCTTCAATCAGTTTTCCACACTTTTGTCTTGTTTACTTGCACCTTCTCTTTACGTATGCAGGCCACTGGGACTTGTTATCATTGATATTCAAAACAAGGACACATTGATTTTTTTTATTTAGGTGAAAAAGCGATTCAGCAGAACATTTATCCAACCCTCCTGTCTGTTCAGCATTCTTCATTCTCTTCCTCTTCTTATTTTATTATCAGAAATTTGACCTGAAACAGGCCAGTTGAAGCATTTATAATTTTTATTAAATTCCTTTCAGTTCCTTTTATTTTTATGACCCTCAAGCACAAGAAAAACCATCTTGACAACTCTTTTTCTAGGTTGCAATTTTCTACTTTGTATTTACTACTCAAAAGTAGATGGAATAGTTTACGTGTTGATTGTCACAAGGCTCTGTTCATGTGATCTTCAAGCTATAGTGTCTTAATTTCCTTTCTCCTTCTTCCAGCTCTTTCACTGTGTCAGTGAAGTTGAAATGTGTGTTAGGAATACCGGCAAAGTGGACTTTGACTTCAACGTCACATACTTTCCAAATGCAAAGGAGAACAAAGGGGTCGATAAAGGAGACGGAGTGCTGATTAAGGCAGATGATGACGACAGAGATGCACAGCATTTAAAAGGAAAAGGTCAACAACACGAGAGGCTGAAGATCAGACCTGGGTGGCCCGTAATTATTCCATCTGTGGTGAGTCAATCATAATAAAAGCTCCTGTGTGAATTTTTCCAGGTGTGATTTTAGTTTATCACTTAACATTCTGTTTGTGTTGCTAGGGTTACATTAGTGCTGGTTCAGAGAAGCACCTGCGTGTACTTTACCTGCCTGGCATCCCTGAAGTGTTTAAGAAGCAGTTTCAGCTCCAGGTGGCTTTCTTACCTCCCCAGGAGGTCACGCTAACCGGGGTGGGAGTGTTCCCAAGAATCCGACTGAATTTGCCACGAAACTTGTGTATGTTCACACCTGCACTCAGACGGTCACAGGCTCTGCCAAAAGAAGTACATTATATTACTCATTATGATCACCTCCCTGCCGACACANATGTTTGGCTCCTCTGCTGTTTATGCCGATGCCCTTCTGTGCCGTGCTCATGTATTTATCCATGTGTCCGCTTATCTTAGCCGCTATGATGCCTGATATGAGCTTCCATGTTGTAGAGAGACAGGTTATTGGCCGATAGTTGGATGGGACTGAACCCTTTGAGGGATCCTTCTGGATCAGGATTGTGCGCCCTTCAGTTAACCATTCAGGGTGAGTCCCATTTTGTAGCAGCTGGTTCAGTTGAGCTGCCAGTCGCTCATGGAGGGCAGTGAGTTTCTTTAGCCAGTTTTTCATACCTGAGACTCTTTCTTGGACATCTGCCACAGTGATGGTTACCGGGGCTTGTTCAGGGAGGTTGCTGTGGTCCTCTCGTAGAGAGGTTAGCCACTGTGCATTGCTGTTGTGGGACGCCTCCCTTTCCCATATGCCTTTCCAGTATTGTTCAGTCTCCAGCCTTGGTGGGTCTGCTCTGTTGTTAGTACCCTGCCATTGAGAGTACACTTTAGCTGGTTGGGTGGAGTCTTTGTTTGGCAGTTTCAAGTGCTTCAGGTATGGGCATCTGGCTGTACTTCTTAGGTACTGATCTTTTCATTGCACCCCTTTGGAGCTCTGACAGTTGGCTCACTTCCCTCCTTGTTATCTTGATCTTAGCCTCTAACCGTCTTTTCCATGGTGGATATTGGGTCTCATGGTTGCTCTTATAGCCAAGCATCTCAAGGATCACTGATGCTGAGTTGTATATCAGCTCATTGGTTTCTGTTATGGTGTTGGTAGGGATATATATATATATC